AGGTGAAGTGCAGGCACAGACACGCACACGTGGACTCTTCAGATTTGCTGGTGCTTTTCGTCTTCAGCTGCGACACCCCCCCCTTCGCCTCCCTCCTCTGCGATGAAGAGTCCATGGCACCAGGAGTCAAAACACTATCTCTCCCCCCACCCCCTTCCCATCCCCCTCTGCTCAGTCCAGAACGGTGTGGCTCTCATGAGTAGAGTAAGGTACCTTTTTATCCTTTGGAAACGTTCCTCCTCCTGTACAATGCTGCTACCTTGTCCTCGTTAGTTTTGTTTGTGGGGTGGGGAGGAGAAAAACATTTTTAAAAAATGTGAAGCAGAGACTGGAAAAAAAAGAGGCCACAAGCCGGATGGAAGCGGGATCTTTTTGCACACAGTACAAGCTGAGAAGGGAGCTCCGGGCTCTGTCGTGCCAGGCGCAGGGCTTCCCAGTGAACCCAGTGACGGCCGTTTTGAGATATTATTTCCCCCACTTCTGGTATTAATTCAGTCTTGTGCTATTCAGTTGGATTTGCTGGTCTTCAAAACTGGCTGTACTTAAAATTGACAAAGAGAAAATGGTGTTAAGTAGAGCCCATCTGAATGCTGTCTCAAGCATCCCACCGAGCACGATTTGGCTTGTGATTGTGGCCCGTGTGGTCTTGATGGTTTTCCTATTCCACTTCCCATTGAGGCCTGGAGAATTTGGGTTGCGAGTTCTCCTTGAAGCTGCTTATCAGATGGAACAGCTTCACCCTGCTACCTGCAATGCATAAAGTGAGGCAGACCTCCACACTCTTAATTCCCAAAGGCCAGGTCTTCTGAAATCAGTACAAGCCACCATCTGCTTCTAGCAGGGTTGTTCCCCATGACCTCTTCTGCTTGGATAGTCAGAGTCTTCTGTAAGTGTGGAGGATTCAGGTGGGATTTTGCAAGGTCTTGGCTGGATTAAACTAGTTTCTTGTCTTCCTTCTAACAGATTTCTCCTCTTGGTGTGCCCGGGGTATTGCTTTCGAGCCTTCTGGTCTTTAAGAAGGCCATGTACGTTTTGCTGGTTCCAGAACCAATACCCTTGTCGATCATTAACCCACCGACATGCTTCTCCTGCAGAAATGCCATTGAAAATGAGCATGGGTGCCAGTACAAGAGAAGCTCTATGTGGATTCCTTGGAAGATACGGCGGTACTAGCTGCCACCACGATGCAGCTGGTTAATCCTGGCCAAAACTTCCTGGAGTAGCAGTTGTCACACTAGCACACATACGCACATTCTGTCCAGAATTTACAGGCACACTCTCACATACTATAATTGGGGTAAAAGAGGATACGTGCATAGTTCAAAACCTGCAGAAACCCGAGGAAATAGGTCTGTGAAAGTGTTTTCTTTCACAGAAGGCCACGCATGTAAAACAAAAGTACATTTGGACTCTCTCAGACCTGGGTAGGCTTCCAATCCTTGGAAGGCTCTGGGTTTAAGGGAAAAAACTCTTGGGTGAAGATGGTCGGCTATGCCGGCCCACCCCGGAGAAGGGAGCACTTTGTCTTCATGAAATGAAGAACGTCCTTATCTAGGTTGCAATATGTCAACTGGATACCTTTCAGGCCTCTCCCGAGGAACCGTCCCCCATGTTCCCAGCGGAGTGCCAAAATCTTGCCCATCTACTCCCAAGCCTTGTGCTTCACAGGCTGACGTTAACCTGACTTCCGCCGGTGTTACCTTGTCACCTGATCTGGGCTTGGGAAACACCCCCCCAACCAGCCTGTCTGTGTTCCTTTTTGCTTGTTTTCACAATAATTTCTCCCCCACCCCCCCGGCCCATTTCCAGATTGAGGTATGAATCGTGGGAGTTTGGGAGGGAACCAGCTCCGACCGGCAGATATTTATATTGTCAAAGCAGCTTATTTCTACACCGCGAAACACTTTTTAAAACTCTGATGAAAAGTTATTTCAGTTCTATCATTTATGACCTATTTTCAGGGATCATTTCAATGCATTTCTGTATGAAAACCTTTTTTTAAAAAAAAGAGAGAAAAAAAGTTAAAATTTGAAGTTGGACACATCATTTGTACATAGGCAACTGTTCAGACTCTTCTCTTCGAACACTGTTTCTTGTAGAAACATGTTGATTTTTTGTTCTATTTGGTTTTTTTGGCTGTTTCCTTTGTACTTCAAAAGCATGTAAATAATTTGTTTAAAGTGACTATTGTAGTTTGGAGGCTGTTTTTTGGTTTTTTTTAAGTGCCAGCATTTAAACATCCAGACTAGAGTGGCAGACTGCAGCAGGGGCAGCTCTTGAAGGGGAGAAAGCTGGCCACGTTTACAGCTTGTGTCAAGCTATGTATAATGTAAATTCTGTACACAAGAACTTTTTTTGTCAAATACGTAGAGCAAACTAGAAAGATTAAGAAGCTGAAGATTTAAAAAAAAATGCCAAGTTTGAGGCTTTTTTTTTTTAATTTGCCTTTCTGATACCTTAACGTGCAAATCTATTTATTTCAGACAAGAATGTGTATAGTCTATTAATGACAACCTAAAAATGTATTTAAGCAGATCTGCAACTTGATTCCCCCCCCCCAATTTAATCTTCTATTTTATAACTTTCCTCCTTGATTACCAACATAGTATTTGTAGAAGCAAAATGAACTGGAGCTCCAGAATGCTCTAGTACACATGCAGAGCTCCATGGGAGCAGGGGCTTTACTGTCTACAAAGCAGGCCCTGCTCCTGAGAAGCTCTGTGTGTATTATCCGAGCCCTTGCCTTCACACCAGAGTTGCTAGATCAAGACGATTGTCTGGGGGTAAGGTAGGGAGAAGAACAAAATATATTCTAAATTCAGGAGGTAGTTCTTGAAAAGGAAAAACTTGTGGAGGGGAGACGTCCCCACCACCACCAGTCCTGATAGTTCCCGACTCATGGATTCTCTAGAAAGAGTGGTTTTAGTGCACCTCCTTTAGTGTGACCTCCTTTAAAAGGGGGAAGGAAAATGGTTTGCAATAAACATCTGCTTTTTATGTTCCTTTGGAAAAAAATTAAATCTCTACTTTTGAGAATTAGAATTTTTAAAAGTTTTTGTTCCCTTTTGTTTAAACAACTGTATAAATTTAAGATTGTTCCGTGCATCTAGGCTCTGTCATCAGTATGTACCTTGTTTTGAAGAACGTGGTTTCTTTTTCTTTTTTGTTGTGGGTGTGTCATGCTGTACATATTTGTTCATATTTTTTGTGAATTGAATACTATGTACCATTGTATTATAGTAACTTTTATAAAGCAAACCATAAATATACTGACTTTTCTTACAGAAAACCTGTGCTTTTTGGTTCATTAGTTTCTCATGAATGATAAAAGCCTCTGTCAGAGAGGCACACAGGAATACACAATGGGAACTATTTTAAATTATTAACAAGGATGTAAGATCTGAATATGTGTTAAGGAGAAAGATGCCTGTGAGGCAAATGTTGTGTCGTGGTTAATGTGTTGGGAGACTTGAGTTTCAATCCCTCCTCTGCCACAAAAGCTTGCTGGGTGACCTTGGGGCAGTCACGCATTCTCAGCTCTAACCTAGCTTATAGGTAGGGTTGCCGGCTCTGCTTTGGGAAATACCTGGAGGTTCAGGGGGTGGGGCTTGGGGAGGGCGGGGTTTGGGAAGGGGAGAGACCTCATGTCCACCCTCAGTCAGAGCAAGAAGCAGCCAGGTAAGTTGCAGAGCTTCTCACGGCCCCACGGCCCAAAACAGTCCAGTGGCACCTTTAAGACCAAGTTTTATTCAGGTACAAGCTCTTCCTTCTCTGTGAGGGCAGATCTGCACATCCCCCCCCCATAGCTAGCAATCCAAAACAGCCCAGTGGAGCCTGAGCGGTGGTTGTTGCCTTCTGACACACTTCCGGTGATGTCAGGGTGTGTGGCCTATGCAAATAAGTTATGCTAATGAGCTCCTGCACCTCTTTTTCTGCAAAATGACCCCTGGATATAAATGAAGTAGAATAAATATTCCAGAAATAACTGCAGAGGTCACCCGTGTCTCTCAAGGGACTGCCGTTTTGTTTCTCGTGGGTATCTGGATACAATAAGTAAGAGAGACAGAGAATGTTCTCCTGCGTGTTCCAAAACCCTTGGGAAGGGAGTCGGTAGGTTTATTGTTTTCAGCCCCGTGACCAAAACACAGATGTAACAAGCCACAGCCTCCGCACTCTCAAGCCTTGTTATTTAGTAACAAAGAAAGGAAGAAATCATTCTGAGCTCCTTAACTTCGGAAGACAGCCTTGTTTACTCTGAACTCGCTTCCCTTTACGGATTGCAGGAAGATCACCAGTTTGATGGCAAGCCCAGTCTCCCGGTGCGAGGGCCCGCGTGCAGAGTTTCAAACGGGTTCCTGATCATCTGGGACATGCTCACTACAGGTTGTCAGCTCCTGGCTCTCCTACAGGTTTGCTTCCAGACGACCGGGGTGGGAGGGGAAGGTATACTCAGCTTCAGCTGCATTGAAAAATAACTACCATCTAATGAAATTCCAGCCATTTGGGAGGCAAAGTTCCTCTTCCTCTATCCATGTTTCTGCAGTCACGGGAAGAGGTGAAGAGGGGGGAGGCTGATTTGGGTTCGGAATCAACTATACATGCTACCAACTAAACCCGCCTGACCGTACGGACTCTTTTTTTTGGGGGGGGGGGAAGTAGTGCAGAGGGAGGAATCTATTCTGATGACTCTTAAGTGCTGTTGGGAGAAATCCTCCTAACCCTTTCCTACAACATTTTTTAAAAAATTGTGTCACTAGCCCTTCGCTGTTGAGCATTACATGAAATCTGATTCTCCGTTGGGCGTCAAGACAGTGAGGTTTCCCCGGGCATCCTGGTCTGCTTCAATAGCTTCAAACAAAGACTTGAAGTTCCCGGCACCAAATCCCTAAAGTCAAGGGAGAAACACAAAGAACAATTAGCACAAGAGCAGGGAGGGCTTCCTTTCTGGACCATCAGGCGTAGTCACGTGGGGCTGGAACAGGATTCCCTCTATTCCGCTACTTCCTGCGTTTGATCTCAGGATTTCCACTCCATCCAAATGTAACATCCAAAATGGTGGTTATGGCCAGGTAAACAGGACAGAGGAGGAAGGAAATGCACATGAGCCGAGCAATGCTCCCTCTAAGCCAGGGGTGGCCAAACTATGGCTCGGGAGCCACATGCGGCTCTTTCACACAAATTATGCGGCTCCTGGCATGGCACTTCTTCAGATACAGAATATGTTTAGTGTATTATCTAAAGCGAGAAACCACCATCTTTACCTGATTCTTACAATCAATGTTCCCTCTAATTTTCCCCCCTACTGAGTGGAGCAGTTCCCATCCTGAGCAGAACGTAACTGCTGTAATCTTAAAAGGGGCAATGGGCACTGCAAGACCCCGCGTGGCCCCAGATTGCTGCTGAGCGGGGCTTCCTGTGTTAATGAGCGGCCGCTCAAGCACACAGCTGGTCTAAGACTTCGCTGGTCTTAAAGGTGCCCCTGGACTCAAACTATGTCCTGCTGCTCCGGACCAAACGCAGCTACACACCTAAACATCATCTTAACTTCCATAAATGCTCCCGTGAGTTGGCCATCAGGGACAGTGACCTCTGAAGTCAGACTGGAAAGAACCCTAGTGGTGCCTAACAGACCTGGTGGTTGTGTCGCTGTATGACTTCAAGAAAGACCGTCGGTCTGTCCTGAACAGGCTTCGTGAAGATCTGGAGCAGATATCCTTTCTCGTCAAAGTCCACGAGGATTTTCAGTTCCTTCAAAGAAAAAGAAAAAATAAGCCTCATGCACAAAGGTACCTCAGCCATGGGCAACTCCTTTGCGGCTAAGAAACAGCAGCTGCCACCACCCCTCCTCAATCGGCTCATGTGTCACTCTTACGTATTTATTTACCACAGGCTTCCAACAGCCGCTTGCCTATCTGGTGAGTAAGAATTTCCTGTGAGGAAGGCTTGGAAAAGAAAAACAAGGGACTCAGAATTCCCTCTCCCACCCCACCCCACAACACTGACCCACTCGCCCCTTAACAGCTCCTGTCTTTCTCACTCGTCCTGCACCACCACCACCAAGTTTTCTCCAGCTTCCGCCCTTCTCCCTCTTTGCTGTCCCCCCATCCCCTCTCCTCCCTCCTCCCTCTACTCTTGTTAGGGCTCACTTAGCAAACTGGTGGCTGAAATACTACAGCGTAGGGCTGTGAGGAAAGGAAATACTACTTTACACAGAGAGGGGATTAAAATGGTCGTTTCTCTGCCAGAGGTTGTAGTGATGGCCACAGGAATAAACAGCTTTAAAAGGGGATCGGATCATGTCACACGAGTCTGACGACCCCCCCCCTCGCTGGGAGAGACCTCATGTCCACCCTCAGTCAGAGCAAGAAGCAGCCAGGTAAGTTGCAGAGCTTCTCACGGCCCCACGGCCCAAAACAGTCCAGTGGCACCTTTAAGACCAGGTTTTATTCAGGTACAAGCTCTCCCTCCTCTGCGAAGACAGATCTGCACGTTCCCCCCCACCCCCAATATCTAGCAATCCAAAACAGTCCAGTGGAGCCTGAGCGGTGGGTGTTGCCTTCTGACACACTTCCAATGACGTCAGGGGGTGTGCCATATGCAAATAAGAGGGAAACGAAGAGAAGAGATTGGATTTATATCCCGCCCTTCACTACCCAAAGGTGTCTCAGAGGGGCTTACAAACTCCTTTCCCTTCCCCTCCCCACAACAGACTCCCTGTGAGGTCGGTGGGGGCTGAGAGAGCTCTGACAGGAACTGCTCTTTTTCAAGGACAGCTCTTATCAGAACTATGGCTTGCCCAAGGTCATCCAGCCAGGTGCAAGTGGAGAAGTGGGGAATCAAATCCGATTCTCCCAGATTAGAGTCCGCACACTTAACCAGGACACCAAACTGGTGTAGCATAATGCGTTATGCTAATGAGCTCCTTGCACCTCTTTTTCTACGTAATGACCCCTGCACTCAGCCAACTCACCTCCAGTCTGTCGATGCTCTCTTTCACCTTAATCTTGGCCGACTGCAGCTTCTTCCGCAGTTGCTGGTAGTAGGACGAGGGGACGGACATAAACTCCATGCCCCGTTTCTTCAGGTTTGCAATCTGCAACCAAGCAGGGTCTGTTAACGCGATATGGGCCACTCCAAAGGAAGGGCAATGTTTGGTGGGTGGAGGGGAGCGCCGGGAAGACTTACCGAAGAAATAATGTCAGAGGTATTCAGAGCAATGTGTTGGACTCCTGGACCTCCATAATAGTCAACGTATTCCTGAAGATCAGAAAACACAGGCAAGGTGCATACAGACACACTTCCAACCAATGTTCCCTCTAAGCTGCGGAGTATTGTGAGCAAAAATTCTACTCTTGTGAGCCACTGGCATTAAAGTTGTGAGCCAGCAATTTGGCTGCTGCAGAAATTGGTTGGCTCTGGAGCCATCCTTCCTGAGCTGAGACAAAAATGTGTGAGCTGGAGGCTAAAAAACTGAGCTAGCTCACACTAACTCAGCTTAGAGGGAACACTGCAGTCGCAACATGCCTGCTAGTTGGTTAGGTTACACGAGAGGAGAAACCCAGGCCCATCTTCCTTGCTCCGTGGCTGAGAGAGCATTTAAACTGAGCTCTCCTGGGTTCAAGTCTACCAACTGTTTTGATCTCCTTCAAGCAAAGATAAGCCTGTGGGTGGGTGGATATTGTACTGAAGCAGCCCAATGGCTAGCTGGCATTGGTGGGGAAATGCTGTCGCGCTGCAACCGATGTATGGTGCCCCTGTAGGGTTTTCAAGGCAAAAGACAAAAAGAGTTGATTTGCCACTGCCTGCCTCAGACTGATTTCCCACAAGCAGCTGCGCCGCCCTCGCTTCTCCCTCCCCCCCCCGATTGTATGTGTCAATTTCCCACTACTTGCTGCGCAGCCACATTGTGATCCGCAGCATCCCCTGATTTCCCCCGCGTCTTCTCTGTCTCAAAAAACAAGGATCGAGAAGACGTGGGGGAAATTGGGGGATGCTGCGGGTCACAATGTGGCCGCGCAGCAAGTAGTGGGAAATTGACGCATACAATTGGGGGGAAGGGAAGAGGGAGGGCGGTGCAGCTGCTTGTGGGAAATCAGACTCTGTGTAGAAACACTGGACTTCTTTGGCGGTCGCCCATCCCAGGTACTCACCAGGATCAACCCTGCTTAGCTTCCAAGATCAGATGAGATGCGGCTAGTAGGTCTGACTAGCTTAAGGGCTTCAAAAGGGAATTAGATAGGCATATGGAGCAGAGGTCCATCAGTGGCTATTAGCCACAAGGTATAGATAGGGACTCTGGGGCAAGTGATGCTCTGTCATCTTGGTGCTTGGGGGGGGGGGTCAACAGTGGGAGGGCTTCTAATGTCCTGGCCCCACTGCTGGACCTCCTGATGGCACTTGGTATTTTTGGCCACTGTGGGACAGAGTATTGGACTAGGTGGGCCATTGGCCTGATCCAACACTGGCTTCTCTTATGTTCTTATAAGAGGGAATTGGATAAGCATATGGAGCAGAGGTCCATCCGTGGCTATTAGCCACAAGGTATAGATAGGGACTCTGGGGCAAGTGATGCTCTGTCATCTTGGTGCTTGGGGGAGGGGGTCAAAAGTGGGAGGGCTTCTAATGTCCTGGCCCCACTGGTGGACCTCCTGAGGGCACCTGGTATTTTTGGCCACTGCGTGACACAGAGTATTGGACTGGAGGGGCCACTGGCCTGATCCAGCATTGGCTTCTCTTATGTTCTTATATGAACTCTCTGTCTGGGGCAAGGGATGCTCTGTATTCTTGGTGCTTGGGGGGGGGGGAAGAGTGGGAGGGCTTCTGGTGTCCTGGCCCCACTGCTGGACCTCCAGATGGCACTGGTATTTCTGGCCACTGTGTGATACAGAGTATTGGACTAGATGGACCATTGGCCTGATCCAACATTGGCTTCTCTTATGTTCTTATAAGAGGGAATTAGATAAGTATATGGAGCAGAGGTCCATCGGTGGTTATTAGCCACAAGGTATAGATGGGAACTCTCAGTCTGGGGCAAGTTATACTCTGTATTCTTGGTGCCTGGGGGGGGGGCAACAGTGGGAGGGCTTCTAGTGTCCTGGCCCCACTGCTGGACCTCCTGATGGCCCCTGGTATTTCTGGCCACTGTGTGACACAGAGTGTTGGACTGGATGGGCCTTTGGCCTGATCCAACATTGGCGTCTCTTATGTTCTTAAGGGCCCAGGAAATCTACATTTCTACCTGGATCTGAGACTTCTTCTTCCCCAGAGCAGGCTCGTTAATGGGCATTTTAATGGTTTCTTCATAATTGGCCACCACGATGGACCGCAGAGCGCTGAACGTCGTGTGCAACTGCTTGTCATCCACGGACCAGAAGCGGTGGAACAGGAGGTTCCTTTGGTACCTGTGAAGATGCAGGAAATGCAAACTTAATTCCAGATCAAGCAAGCCAGCAAACGATTCCCAGCATTCGTGGTATCCTCTCCAGCAGCAGCCACCTCCTTCAGGAAGAACACCCTCGTCAGCATCGGGATACCAGAGATCCAGAACCATCCGCGGAACAAGAAGTCGTTGAAGTGTCTGGAAAACTGCGAAGAGGTACTGGTGGAAGTGCAAAGCCCACCCCTAAGAGTGGGAAAAAAGAGTAAGAATCATAGAATCGTAGAATTGGAAGGGACCTCCAGAGTCATCTAGTCCAACCACTGCACAATGCAGGGAATTTACAAATACCTCCCCCACACACACATGCCCAGAAGATGACAACAAAAAAACCCCCTCCCAGATCCCTGGCCAAACTGATCTGGGGACAAATTGCTTCCTAACCCCAAAGTAGCAATCCGCATTTCCCTGGGTATGTAAGAAAGGGCCATAAGAACTAAGCACTGAGGCAACCCTTCCTGCCCTCCCTCTCATGACCTGCCAGGACAGGTAGAAGAAGAGAAGAAGAGATTGGATTTACACCCTGCCCTTCACTACCCAAAGATATCTCAGAGCAGCTTACAAACTCCTTTCCCTCCCCCTCCCCACAAAAGACACCCTGTGAGGTAAAAGAAGAAGAAGAAGAGATTGGATTTATACCCCTCCCTTCACTACCCAAAGGTGTCTCAGAGCGGCTGACAAACTCCTTTCCCTTCCCCTCCCCACAACAGACACCCTGTGAGGTAGGTGGGGCTGAGGGAGCTCTGACAGAAACTGTTCTTTTTCAAGGACAACTCTGAGAGAACTATGGCTTGCCCAAGGTCGTCCAGCAGCTGCAAGTGGAGGAGTGGGGAATCAAACCCAGTTCTCCCAGATTAGACTCCGCGCACTTAAGCACTACACCAAACCGGTACTTGAAGAAGTGAGCAGTGACTCACGGAAGCTCATACCCAGCCACAAATTTTGTTACTCTTTAAGGTGCTCCATGACACTTGCTCTTTTCTACTGCTACAGGCAGACTAACACGGCGACCCGTCTTGATCTATCCCCTACGAGTAGGTTTCCCGGTTCTCACTCAGTCTGTTCCTTTCCAAATTAACGGCCGCTCCCTGTGAGGGCTGAGCTAGAGACCAACCCAGGCAGGGAGAGATCATTTGCCTCATGATGTTGAGAATGCCGTTCGCCTGGTCCGGGGGGGGGGGGGGGGGGGGCAGGAGGGCAGCACAGTGGAAGCGTGGTCAGCTGTCCCTGCTTGGAGAGCCACGGACAGGCTCACAGGGGGAAGGGAGACTGATCGAGAAGAAGACCCCAACCTTTGCTCGTTGGCCAAGCTGGGGGGCACCCCTCCTTTCCCCTCTGCAACGGGTGGGCAAACCGCAGGCGAACAGACCAGCCTCTTAAGGTCTCTGAAGATTCCCGTTCGCGGGGAGGGTGGGGTATAAATATAAATAAATAAATAAGGAGGTCCACAAGAAGGGCTTATTGTGGGCTTTTAGGAGAATGCCTCCAAAGGTCCTTTGTTCAAATCCGGACCATCTCAAGGGATAGAAAGCATTGAGATTTCTGCAGTGACGTTCAACACCCATTTCTCACCATTCTGCCACAGGGACCATCTCGTGATCTGGCTGGTTCCCCACGACGTGGTCAATGAAGTTCAGCCTCCCAGGTGGCCTGGCAAGACAAGAAGAAGAGAAGAAGGGATTGGATTTATACCCTGCCCTTCACTAGGAGTCTCAGAGCGGCTTACAGACGCCTTTCCCTTCCCCTCCCCACCACAGACACCCTCTGAGGTAGGCGGGGCTGAGAGAGCTCTTTCAAGAACAGCTCTGACAGAACTATGGCTTGCCCAAGGTCATCCAGCAGCTGCAAGTGGAGGAGTGGGGAATCAAACCTGGTTCTCCCAGATTAGAGTCCAGGCTCCTAACCACGACACCAAACTGGCTCTCGAAACAACAACAGCCGTGGAATTTTGTGTTCAGGGAGCCGGCCGCTGTTATTCCAAACGAGACTGGTGGTAGAAAGTGCTGTCAAATCACAGCCAATTTATGACAACCCCGTGAGGTTTTCAAAGCAAGAACTGAACAGAGGTGGTTTGCCATTGCCTTTGTAGTGTATTCAAAGCTGCCTTGAATGCATGATATGTTGTGAAACATCTAATTGAAATGCTATGTAAAGCTTCGTCCTCGGCTAGGATCCAAATCCATCCAATCATGGAAGCAACTAACCAATCACTTTCAAGCAAGCTCCCTGAGCGGGAACATCCGTGATTGGTCCTCATGTGAACAACCTTATTGGTTGGTATTTGTACAGTGGGTGTGGCTACATTAGCCGGGAATGTTTAAAAGCAGGACAGCTTTAATGTAAAGGCTGTTCTGGCTATCAGATGTTGATCCCTGTTGGAGTTGTGTTCGAGTGGAAGAATAAAGTTGTGTTCTTGATGAATCACTCTCCGACTGCTTTGTTAAGCGAGCGACTTAACAGCCTGCCTCTGCGTAGCAACCCTGGACTCCCTTGGTGGCCTCCCATCAAGCCACAAGCAACTCAAGGCAACCCCAGGACTTGGGGTTTCCAAGGCAAGAGATGCTTAGAGGTGGTTTGCCATGGCCTGCCCCTGTGTAGCAACCCTGGACTCCCTTGGCGGTCTCCCATCCAAACACTAACCGGGGCTGACCCTGCTTAGTTTCTGAGGTCTGATGAGACCGGGCCAATCTGAGCCGTCCAGGATAAGACCTGCTGCAGTGCCCTGAAGAGCAGGCATGGCATGACAAACCACAGCCTTGCTGCCACCTCAGGTGCGTGGAGTGGGCCTCAGCTTGCCACCTCGACTAAGGGACATTTTCTCTCGGTACTTACAGGCTTTTCAACAGCGGGTCCTTGAAGAGAGGCGGTTCGAAACCGGGCAGGAAAAGGCCTTTGTAGTCCAGCTTCTCAATCAGGGTGTGGGTGGTGTCTCCATACTAGAGAGAGGGAGACACATGGCACAGGTTGGAGACTATTCTGGTGAGTGGGAGGAATCCCATTGGCTTCGGAACCGGGGCCCGTCTGGCTTGCTGGGGCAGCTGGTGAATGACACTCTGACTCCCCTTCCCCTCTGCTTCCAAAGCCGTCTGCCAACTCCAGTGCCAGCACCCACAGCGGGACCAGTTGGGCCCCCTTGCCGTGCCGAGTGTCAGCAGAGTTTTGCTCTGGAAAACCGACAGCCTTCCCTTGCCATCTGCCCCAACCCCTCCCTCCTTTCTACTCTTCAAGGCAGGAAGAGAGCAGCAGTAAAAACGAAGCCACTTGGGGATCGTTTCAGGATGTTGTTTTGAAAAATCTGCTTTGAGAAGGGATCATCTCCCAGCAGGGGTCATTTCGTAGAAAAAGAGATGCAGGAGCTCATTAGCATAACTCATTAGCATAACTTATTTGCATATGCCACACCCCCTTGCATCACCGGAAGTGTGTCAGAAGGCAACACCTACCACTCAGGCTCCACTGGACTGTTTCGGATTCCTAGCTATTGGGGTTTTTTTTTCCCCACACAGATCTGCCCTCACAGAGGAGGGAGATTGTTTTGGATTGCTATCTATCTGTTTTGGATTGCTATCTATGGGGGGAGCTCTGCCACTTATCTGGCTGCTTCTTGCTCTGACTGAGGGCTGCTGGGAGCAGGGGGCGGGACTTGTTGCATGTGCCCACCCCCTGGGCTCTTTACTGCCGGAGCTCCGCTCCTGTGCGCTCCTGCAGGAAATGACCCCTGTCTCCCAGGCCTGAAAAGTTTTTAAGATTTGCCCATGACCTGCCACTGTCTGGGCACCTCAGATTTAAGAGAACACTTGCTAAAATCACTGCAGCATTTTATTGGCCTGGAGTAAGTAAGGACACCAAAGAATATGTCAACTCATGTGAAGTATTGCCAAAGGGTAGGACATTCCTCTGACCATGTTAAGCTACCTCTGGGATGAATTCCAATAGTACAAACACCATTTTTAGTAATACAGATTGATGTCCAGGGACCCTTTCCCCTGACCAAGCCCGGAAAGAGATTTATTCTTGTCATCATAGATTGGACAACATGCTTTTTAGCAGCTATCCCTTTAAAGACTGTTACTGCAACAAGTGTTGCTAGGACACTGTTAGAGGTTTTTTTGCTAACTTTGGTTCTCCAAGACTTATTATCAGTGATAGGTCATCTGTATTTGTAAGTAATTTAATGCAAAAACTCTATGAATTGGCAGGGGTGACTCAACAGCTCAGTGCAGTTTATCAACCACAGTCTCATGGACAGGCAGAAAAGTGGGAAGAAACCCTGACATGCACACTAAAGGCCTTTTGCCTGGAACATCATAGCAAATGGGATGAGGCCATTCCGCTATTGGTTAGTGTATATCGAGATGCCGTGCACCCGTCCCTGGGAGATCTCACACCCAATGAACTGGTGTTTGGTAGGAAACTACCAGGAGTTTTGGAATTGTTGAAAGCAAGTTGGGAAGGAGTCTGGGCCCCTGAACTACCAGTCTGTGACAGGGATATTTTGCTAACCTACAACAGAGTTTACAAAAAACTCAGCAGATTGCCCATCAAGCTCTCACAGAAGCCAGGGAAAAACAAAAGGTGTATTTTGATAAGACAGCCAAGCCTAGAGTCCTGCAAGTCGGAGACTGGGCTTTGCTCTTGAGTCCCGAAAGTGTAGGAAAGTTAGATTTGCATTGGACTGAACCTTTTGAGGTCATCTAGAATCTGGGAGATGGAAATTATGAGATCAGGGATCCCAAGAGAGGCCCCCTTTTTGTTCACATTAATCGTCTGAAAAGGTTTGTCACCCGCCAAATACAGCAAATGTCAATTGAAGTTTGGCCAGAAGATTTTGAGGCTCCAGATTTGCTTTCAGAGGCTGAAAGACCGACCGGGATATTTGAGATCCCTGTCAATGAGGCTCTGTCACATCAGCAGCAAGAACAATTAATGGTCTTGTTGCAGAAATCTAAAGACCTATTTACTAACTGCCCTGGGAGAACTGACCTGGTAGTCCATGATACTGACACAGGAGATTAGGTAAAGGTAAAGGTTCCCTTGCTCGAAAGCCAGTCGAATCCGACTCTAGGGTTGCGGTGCTCATCTCCGTTTCAAAGCCGAAGAGCCAGCGCTGTCCGAAGACGTTTCCGTGGTCATGTGGCCGGCATGACTAAACACCAAGGCGCACGGAACGCTGTTACCTTCCCACCGAAGTGGTCCCTATTTATCTACTTGCAATTTCTTGCTTTCGAACTGCTAGGTTGGCAGGAGCTGGAACTAGAGACAGGAGCTCACCCTGTCTTGCGGCACCCGGGTCTTGAACCGCTGAACTACTGACCTTCCACAGCCTGCAGTTCAGCGTCTTAACCACTTGAGCCACCGCAGCTCCCTAACAGGAGCTTGCTTACCAGTTAAATCTAATCCTTATCCCATGCATGGACCAATGAGATAAATAGTTAGATCAGAAATTGAGAAAATGCTAGAAATGGGTGTGATAGAACCATGTGCTTCAGAATGGTCTAGCAATCTTCTTATTGTGACCAAGTTAAATGAAGAAGATCCAATTCAGTATTGTCTGTACATAGATTATAGAAAACTGAATAATCCAAGCAAAATGGACCAATACCCTTCACCTCATATTGAGGAAGTGTTAGAAAGACTGGCAGGCGCAAAATACATCACCACATTTGACCTTACGTCAGGGTATTGGCAGGTGCCACTTACAGAAAGAGCTAAGGAGAGAACATCTTTCTCCTGCTTTATGGGGCAGTATTGCTTTAATGTGCTCCCATTTGGTGTGAAATTAGCCAGTAAAGCCTTTCAAAGGCTAATGGATAAAGTACTTCAGGGACTGGATTATGCAGTAGCATATCAAGATGATACTGCAGTGATCAGCTCAAGCTGGCATGAACATTTACAGCATCTGGGAACTGTGCTTCACAGAATCCAGGATGCTGGGCTAACTATTAAGCCATCTAAATGCCAGGTCGCTAACTCCACTGTGGTGTATTTGGGTCATCAGATTGGGAGTGGGAAAATCTCACCACATGCAGTGAAGGTTGAGGCAATCATCAACTGGCCCACCCCCGTGACTAAAAAAAAAGATCCTGAGCTTTCTGGGAGCTTGTGGGTTCTACCAAAGGTTCATCCCAAATTTCAGTGGCCTGGCATCAGTTTTAACTAATTTATGTAAAAAAATCAAAAAGTGTTCCTGCCATGGTGCCATGGTCAGTGGAGTGTCAAAAGGCTTTTGAACTTCTCAAAGAGAAACTTGCCCAAGCCCCAATTCTTAAACTGCCTGACTATACTAAACCTTTTCTTGTTAGAACTGATGCGAGCAAGATTGGTATAGGTGCTGTTCTAAGGCAAGAGGACTGATGGTTGTCTCCACCATGTGGTGTATTTGAGCCGCAAATTACTCCCTAGGGAGCAGAAGTATAGTGTTATAGAGCAAGAAGCATTGGGGGTAGTTTCAAAAAAATTGAAAACTTATCTCAGGGGAACACATTTTTACCTGGAGACAGATCATAGCCCATTAACATTAATTCACAGAATGAAAGTGACAAACTCCAGAATTCTGAGACCTGTCTTTTGAAGTCATACACATCCAAGGAAGAGACAATATCTTGGCAGACTCTCTTTCAAGGTGCCATACTGAAGTCTGATAAACTGGCGAATACTGTCAAGAAAATTGGTCTTGCTTGGAGCTTTTGTAATTTGAATTTTTTTAGTTACTTGTATAATATTTGAGGTATAACTATGCAAGTGCATACATCTTAGGAAATATTGTTATTTTAAGTTACATAAAGGTTATGACATTATCATTTTAAATCGCAGAAAGGCAAATGACTGAGTCACTTGCCTTCTGTGGGGGGGGGTATATGGCAGCAGTATGTATTTTTATTTTTTCCTTTTAGATGATTAATTTGAAATAGAGACTCCAAGTTGTTTCAACTTGAGCCCTGTGAACTGTTTCAGTTGAAGACCCTGGGTGTTTTTTTTTTCTTTAAGAGCTCAACACCTGCAAATAATAATTAAGTTATGTGGCCTTGATTGGCTGGCAGGTTGTTTAATATCGCTTTTCTTTAGAACTAACTCACTCACCTTCCAGATCATGTGGGTCTGAGAGCTTGAAACTTTGCTGACGTGTTTGTTTTTTCACTGTCACCATGCAGTGATTTGTTATTTTTCTAATCATCTTCAATAAACTTTGATGGGCTTCCCAAAAGCTGAAGTGTGGAGCAGCGCTGTTAATGGGTGACTCCCTCCCCTTTCCCAGAGCCGAACTGGAGCCTAAAGAGGCGAGCCTGTAGAGAGCAGAGCGCTTTGAGTCCTGCCAAAGTAAATAAGTGGCTCCTTGTCAACTTGAGGCCTAAACACCTACAGACTTGGCAGGAGAACCAAGAGAGAAGCTCCTGGTTCATACAAGGGTGCAAGTAAATAAAAATAGTTGAGGGGGTCTTTGCAGGTTATGTTTGATCCAGAGAGGCTCACCAAAGCTTGGCGCCAGTTTGAACCACTTCCTTTCCTGGAGAAAGCCAGTTTGGTGTAGTGGTTAAGTGTGTGGACTCTAATCTGGGAGAACCAGGTTTGATTCCCCACTCCTCCACTTGCACCTGCTGGTGTGACCTTGGGTCAGTCACAAGCTCTGGCACAGCTGTTCCTGAAAGAGCAGTTTGTGTCAGAGCTCCCTCAGCCCCACCCACCTCACAGGGTGTCTGTTGTGGGGAGGGGAAGGGAAAGGAGGTTGTAAGCCGCTCTTAGACTCCTCTGGGTAGTGAAGGGCGGGGTATAAATCCAATCTCTTCTTCTTCTTCTTCTTCTTTCCCTTCCCAACGGAAGTGTTTTGGGCAAAGGGATCTAAGTGGTTGGAAATTATTTTCCCAGCACAGGAAGGCCTTACCAGGAGCATCTCTGCCTGTTTTCAGCTGTGAATAGCAGTTTGAGGAGGTGGTCATCCAGGTCTTAAAGGTTGAGTCCCCGCTAGGCTTGCCAACACTGGGTTGGGAAATTCCTGGAGATTTCAGGGGTAGAGCCTGGGCAGGGGTTTGTTTGAGGAGGGGGGACCTCAGGGTATAATGCCTTCAAAGCAGGCACTTTCTCCCAGGGAACTCATCACTGTTGTTTGGAGAGCAGACAAAATTCTGGGAGATCTCCAGGCCCCGCCTGGAAGCTGGCAACCCTAGTCCCAGGAGCTCTCTGATTTTTTTTTTTAAAAACCTGGGCACTGCTTGTGGCTCCAGCAGAGCCAAGATAATATTCAAACTGAATCCCAGTTATTTTGCTCTGTAATATGAAGATATTACTACCAGCCTCCCTTGTTGTAAGGATTTCTGTAATAACATACGCAGGGCTTTTCCTGCCGAAATGTTACTTCCTAACTAGTCATGCCGGCCACATGACCATGGAAAAGTCTTCGGACAGCGCTGGCTCTTCGGCTTGGAAACGGACACAAGCACTGCAACCCTAGAGTTGGATTCGACTGGCTTTCGAGCAAGGGGAAACCTTTACCTTAACTGGGTTTTTACAACCGAATAAAGGATAGCCCCCCCCCTTCTTACCGTCTGAACAACTGCAAACTTCACCTTCCCAAACTTGTCTTCCTCGATCCAAGGCTCTTTTACGACTACGGCTCCCCGTTCCCTCGCTTTCTGAAGGGGAAAGAAAGGAAGGAGGAGTGTTGACTGAGCCAAGCAGGTTGGTTAACAAAGCTTGTAGTTACGGAGGAGAATTCCTCACTGGTGGTTTACCTGCACAATGAAATCGCAGTCCTCCACCTCAAAGGCAACGTCTCGGACTCCGTCTCCATGCTTTACTAAGTGTTCACCCATTTCTGCACAATGAGAGAGTAGAAGGCACAGGAGGTTCTCTCAGGGAGGAGAAATCTATCAAAAGCCATTAGTCATGACAGATGGAACCTCCACGTTCAGAGGCAGTATACCTTAGGATTGAAACAACAAGGGAGGGGCACTGGGGTTTGTGGTTGGGATTTTGTAGTTGTAGGTCCCCAATCTGCAAGACTTCCCCCGTCCTTCCTGGCGAGCTAATCTTTGAAAATTTAAGAAAAACACCACTTTTCCCATCTGATATTTGGAAGCCCAATAAACTCTGCTAAACAAGCAAGTGGAAGCCAAGTAAACTCTGTTAAACAAGCAATTTGATGCAAAGGTTAGCCAATTTGCTTATTTTGTTCCAGTCACAGAATCTGTGTTTTCCTGTTCTGGTTTACATGGATTATGAACATTCCTGTCTGTCCTTATTAAGTCAGTTGGCATCTGCTAATTATTTTTATCTCCTGCAAAACCTGACTCCCTAGGCCAATCAGATGCAACATTATAAAATCAAAAACATATATACATATGTTGTTGTTGTTCAGTCGCACGGTCAGGTCCAACTCTTTGTGACCCCACGGACCACATCATGCCAGGCCCACCTGTCTTCTGCTATCCTCCGGAGTTTGCTCAATTTCATGTTTGTTGCATTGATAACACTGTCTAACAATCTCGTCCTTTGCCGTCCCCGTTTTCTTTGACCTTCAATCTTTCCCAGCATCAGGGTCTTCTCCAGTGAGTGCTCCCTTCTCATTGGGTGGCCAAAGTATTTGAGCTTCAGTTTCATTATCTGGCCTTCCAGGGAACAGGGTTGATTTCTTTTAGGATTGACTGATTAGATCTTCTTGCAGTCCAAGGGACTCTCAAGAGTCTTCTCCAGCACCATAGTTCAAAAGAATCTATTCTTCGGCGCTCGGCCTTCCTTACAGTCCAACTCTTGCAGCCATACATGACTACTGGGAACACCATTTCTTTGGCCATACGGACTTTTGTTGGCAGGGTGATGTCTCTACTTTTTATCATGCTGTTTAGGTTCGCCATCGCTTTCCTCCCAAGGAGCAGGCGTCTTTTAATTTCATGGCTGCTGTCACTGTCTGCGGTAATCTGGGATCCCAGGAACATGAAGTCTGTCACTACCTACCACGACTTCCCCTTCTATTTGCCAAGGAGTGATGGGGCCGGATGCCATGATCTTAGTTTTTTTGATGTTGAGCTTCAAGCCCACTTTTGCGCATAGAAGACAATTAAAAACCAACCAACTAAACCCCATTCCAGTTTAAAGTTCTACCCCGCCCCCGCCCCCTGAAAACCAAAGGATCTGACCGTCTTCTTGAAAGTCATCGCACGGCTGGACGAAGGACTTCACATTTACCTTGGTTTCCCGGGTTGAGAGCCGAGGAGAGGACAAAGATGATCTGGAAATACAAGTCATGACATGGTCACTTTTTCTAATTCAGCCAGTGAGGAGAAGCATTTAGAGAGACTCTGGACAAAGGAGACCTGAGTTCCAATCCCTCCTCGTGGCTTGAAGGCAAAGCCCCGTCAACCATCAGCCACAGGGTTGCCAGCCTCCAGGTGGGGCCTGGAGATCTCCTGGGATGAGAACAGATCTCCAGGTGAAAGAGATCAGTTCCACTGGAGAAAACGGCGTCTTTGGAGAGTGGACTCCATGGCATTATAACCTACTGAGGTCCCACCCCTCCCCAAACCCCGCCCCCCCCAAACTCCACCCCCAAATCTCCAGGATTATCCCAACCCAGAGATGGCAACCCTCGGCGTTAAGGTTATCAACCCCCTACTGGTGGCTGGAGATCACTTGGCATTACAACTGGTCTCCAGCAGTGTTCCCCCTAAGCTGAGTTAGGCTGCGCTCACACGGTTGTTTTGATCGGGATTCACTGCTGTTCCCTCTCGCATATAAAATCGCTGATCAGACAGGCCAATCTGCCACCCGCCCCGAATCGGGCTCACTTGTGCAATGCTCCCGGTTCTCGCCTGCATTTTCCTACACCCGGAAAAATGAGTACTTTCCGGGTGTTTCCGCTGCGATTCCGCACTTTCCCCTATCTGGACTCCCCTCTCGCAGTGAGTGCAATTTGGTCGTCTTCTTTTTTCCAGCAACCACCATTATGCGCATGCACGGATATGCACATGATAACCCTTGCGCATGTGCAAATGAATAATAAAAAAACAATTCCCACGCTGCCACTTGGGCGGCGTGGCTGTCTGACTCATCACACGATTAAAGAGGGACGTGTGACCAGTTTTCATCCGATAAAAAAAGTCACGGGTAAACCAAGAGAGGTCAGTGTGACCGCAGCCTTAGTGTGAGCTAGCTCACAGTTTTTAAGCCTCTGGGTCACACATTTTTGTCTTCACTCAGGAAGGCGCGCTTCAGAGCAAACTAATTTTATGCAGCAGCCAAATTGCTCGCTCACAACTTTAATGCCAGTAGCTCACAAAGTAGAATTGTTGCTCACAAGACTCCACAGCTTAGAGGGAGCCTTGGACTTGGGGAGCCCCCAAAATTACAGCTCCTCTCCAGCCTACAGAGATCAGCTCCCCTTTGGAGGGGGGGCTCCGTGGCCTTGTACCCCACCAAGGTCCCTGTCCTCCCCAGGCTCCTCCCCCAAATTTCCAGGAGTCTCCCAACCTGGATCTGGCAACCCTGCCCCCCGTTCCCCGTCGGTGCCTAGGGGGACCTGGCAACCAGAAGGTGGGGGCAAGCCTTCGCTTGCAGTCGCCCGCCATCCAGGCCCCCAATGGCTCCCCAGCGGGTCTTCTTGGAAGGAGAGGGGGCCCAAGAGCGTTGCCAGGTGAGGGCCACTTACCTTGTCCTGCTTGATGACGTGGGAGACCACTTCACGACTCCCGGTTTCCAGGCCTCTGTAGGCCAGTTCCTCAAAGCCCATCTTGTTGCAGTAAAATGACGCTGCCTTCGAAACAGACACAAGCAGAGAAGCGCAGCGGGGGCTCGGTCAGACCAGTAGAGGGGAGGGAAACCCTCGGAAAGCCCAGTCCTCTCCTACAGCTGGATATTTCACTGGGCTTTAGGTAGTTGTGACCAGGGGTCATTTCCTGCAGGAGCGCACAGGAGCGGAGCTCCGGCAGTAAAGAGTCCAGGGGGCGGGCACATGCAACAAGCCCCACCCCCTGCTCCCAGAAGCCCTCGGTCAGAACAAGAAGCAGCCAGGTAAGTTGCAGAGCCCCCCCCCAAAAAAACAGTCCAGTGGCGACTTTAAGACCAAGTTTTATTCAGGTACTGGCTCTCCCTCCTCTGCGAACAAAGATCTGCACGTCCCCCCCCCCAATAACTAGCAATCCAAAACAGCCCAGTGGAGCCTGAGTGGTGGGTATTGCCTTCTGACACACTTCCGGTGATATCAGGGGGTGTGGCATATGCAAATAAGTTATGCTAATGAGTTATGCACCTCTTTTTCTATGAAAGGAGACCCCTGGTTGTGACTACAGAGCTACCCTTCCCACGTTGCCAATTTCTTTTCTGGGCTCTGCTCTTGTATATTCAACAGCAGCCCGACAGGCAGAAGTGGACAGAGTAGGGTTGCCAACTTCCAGGTGGCAGCTGGATATCCCCTGGGATTACAACTGATCCCCAGGCAACAGAGATCAGCTCACCAGGAGAAAATGAAGAAGGAGAAGAGATTGGATTTATACCCCCACCCTTCACTCAGAGTCTCAGAGGGGCTTACAAACTCCTCTCCCTTCCCCTCCCCACAACAGACACCTTGTGAGGTAGGTGGGGACTGAGAGAGCTCTGACAGAAACTGCTCTTTTTCAAGAACAGCTCTTGTCAAGACTATGGCTTGCCCAAGGTCATCCAGCAGCTGCATGTGGAGGAGTGAGAATCAAACCCCGTTCTCCCAGATTAGCGTCCGCACACTTAACCACTACACCAAATGAACACTTTGGAAGTGGGCTGCATGGCATTATACCCTACCGAGTTCCCTTCCCTCACCAAATCTCACCCTCCTCAGGCCCCATCCCCCAAATCTCCATGTATTTCTGAAGATGGAGCTGGCAACCATAGAAAAGAGGGAGGGAGATATGGGAAAAGGTTCAGCCTATTTAATTTCCGCATGTCAGGGAACAGTTAAAGGTGCAGCACCTGGAAACTCTACAGTCCTCTATCCCTTACCCTTTAAAAACCTTTCCATTGGGAAAAAGGAAGTACTGGTAGAAAGGGACTTTCCTTTCCTTTTATTTTGGGTTTGGTTTTGGGGTTTTTTTTCCAGATAAAGCTCTAAACCAACAATTGTCAGCTCTACCTGGAGAAGCATTTGGCGTTTAATCTCTTTGCAGCAGAACTTCCCTGTTCCCTTTTTGCCAAGCTCCAATTCTCAATAAAAGAAGAGAAGAGATAAGAGATTGGATTTATACCCCGCCCTTCACTACAACCGAAGGAGTCTCAGACCAGTTTGCAATCTCCTTTCTCTTCCCCTCCCCACAGCAGACACCCTGGGAGGTAGGTGGGGCTGAGAGAGCTCTTCCAAGAAATGCCTTTGAGAGAACTTGTGACTGACCCAAGGTCACACCAGCAGCTGCATGTGGAGGAGTGGAGAATCAAACCTGGTTCTTCCAGATTAGAGTCTGCACTCTTAACTACTACACCAGACTGGCTCTCACACCAAACTGTCTCTTACACCACGAAGTACTCCCTACTAACCCCCAATATCACAGATGGTTGTTCCTGTAACCAACATTCATCGCCAATATCAATTAACACAAGGATATGCTTCCTCAATAAACCTGGCCTCCACCACACAAACCTTATAGACTTAGATTAATGGTCTCCTAAGTTTTCTAGGTTCGCTATATTCTGTGTAGCCTGGACTGACTTGGTAAAATAAGCTCTTATATTCAGGTTGTGTTACAATTCCTCTATATTTTATGTTTACATCACCTTGTTACGTAGGTTGTGTTTTGTATACTGTATAAAAGAATAAAAACTGTATTAAACAAATTAAAACAATAAACTGACATTAGTCCAATCCCCCCCCCCCCAAAGTAAATACTCAGTGTCAAGCCTTAGCAGCTGTGGCTGGACAATTCTTGTGAAACGGATTTGTTTATGTTGCGCAGTATTCGTTGTGTGTGAGCAATAAACAGAAGATAATTTTCTACAGAGTTACTACAGTAAATGATTTTCCACACATATCTTTATTGACTCTTTGTCATTTTTGTCACGGATGTCGTGTTTGGATTCCAGCCTTCAGGTGGGGGCCTGGAGATCTCCCAGGATTACAACTAATTTCCAGACGACAAAGATCTGTCCCCCTGGAGAAATTGGCTGCTTCAGAGTGTGGGCTCTATGGCATTATGCCCCTCTGGGCTCCTTCCCTTCCCTAAAGAGCCAGTTTGGTGTAGTGGCTAAGAACAGCTGTAATGTATTCAGGCCTGACATGTCCGGACATGCCCGGACTGGCCAGGCACAAACATCACTAGCTTCACGACAAAAGACAATGGGCCAGTAGGATCCTAGCCAGGCCCAATGAAAGGGCTAGGTCCCCAGCCGGAAGGCCAATAGGTCTCTCGGTTAGTGTAAATAGCCTATCGGGAGTGGGGTGTGTGTTTAGGTGTGCTTGGTGGCGGGTTTTCTGAATGAATATAAGCCGGCCTGCGAGCCGGTCAAGTGTCTTTGTTCCTGACTAAATAAAGGTATGCTTAGCTGAAATCACTCTCCGTATGCATAGTTTTCAGCGGCAGACTCTAATCCAGAGATCTGGGTTCGATTCCCCACTCTTCCACTTGAAGCCATCTAGGTGACCTTGGACTAGTCACAGGTCTCCCAGCCCCCCAAAATAAACCTACTAGCTCGCCACAAAAAGAAGTAGGGTTTCAGGCTGCCGGACGATCTCTGGGTCTCCTGGCTACCCTACACCGGCTGCCAGGTGATAATCCCTTCCTTCCCCAAACCCCACCTTCCACAGAGTCTACCTCCCCAAATCTCCAGGTGTTTCCCAACCTGCCGCTAGCAACTCTGTGGCCATAAGCCATCTTAACCATGCAGATCTGAGCAGCAGCCCGGTGCCTCTCTTACATCACCAGTCCAAAGAGCACACACCAGCTTAATATTCGACGTGGAGCCATGTGCTAAGGAGACACATGTCCTTCATTAATTCCCCCCCCCCCCGCCAGACATGCCTCCTCCCCCTCGCCGCCTCCAATCAGAAACTTGCCAGGACAGCAGAGCCCAGCCACCTCCCCCCCCTTACTTCAAACCCCCCCGGAGCTGATTGGCTCACCTTCCTGCTTGGCATTTCCCACCCAGAAGGTCAGGGAATGGAAGTGGCGGAAGCGTCCCTTGTCAGGCTGTAGGAGGAGAGGAGAGAAAAGGGACATCCAGTCAGTGACGCTCCCTCTGAGCTGCGGAGCCTTGTGAGCAAAAATTCTGCTTTGTGAGCTATTGGCGTGAAAGTTGTGGCCGAGTGATTTGGCTACTGCGCAAATTAGTTTTGCCCTGGAGCCCTCCTTCCTGAGCTGAGACAGAAATGTGTGAGCCGGAGGCTAAAGAACTGTGAGCTGGCTCACACTCACTCAGCTTAGAGGGAACGCTGCAATGCTCCCTCTAAGCTGTGGCATCTGCCTGAGCAAGAATTCTACTTTTGTGAGCTGCTGGCATTAAAGTCATGAGCAGCCATTTGGCTGCTGCATAAATGAGTTTGCGCTGGAGCCCTCCTTCCTGAGCCAAGACAAAAATGTGTGAGCCGCTGCGGTGGTCAGTCTTTCCGCTACTCCCTGCTGGCCCCTTCCCAGGCCACCCAACCCCCAGCATCCGTAGGGTCAGAAATCCTGGGTGCCTCCCATGGCAAATGCGAACTGGTCCCCCAGCTAGGGTTGCCACCAATGCTCCCTCTAAGCTGTGGAGTCTTGTGAGCAAAACCTCTACTTTGTGAGCTACTGGCCTTAAAGTTGTGAGCGAGCGATTTGGCTGCTGCATAAATTAGTTTTGCTCTGGAGCCCTCCTCCCTGAGCTAAGACAAAAATGTGTGAGCCAGAGGCTAAAAAACTGTGGGCTGGCTCACACTCACTCGGCTTAGAGGGAACACTGGTTGCCAACTCTGGCCTGGGGGATTCCTGGAGATTTGGGAGCCATGACTGGGAAACTGGCGTCTTGCTTAGTGTTGTCAACCTCCAGGTGGGGCCTGGAGATCTCTCAGAATTGGAACTCATCTCCAGGCGACAGAGATCATGTCCCCTGGAGCAAATGGCTGCTTTGGAGGGGAGACTTTTGGGCATAATATCCCATGGAGGTCCTGCCCCTCTCCAAATCCCTCCCTCCTCAGGTTCCACACACACACACCCAAATCTCCAAGGATTTCCCACACACAGGGCTTTTTTTGGTAGAAGAATCCCAGCAGGAACTCATTAGCATAATAGGCCACACCCTGACAGCACAGTTTAAGCTGCCTTCCCTTGGCTTGCCCTGGTGGGGAGCCCAGGCAAGCTCCCCCTTGAAGGGAAGGGAAGGCAGTGTAAACTGCCTTCCCTTGGCTTGCCCAGGAACCCCACGGCTACGGGGAGCCCGGGCAAGCCAGCCCTTGGACAAGCCAGGGAAGGCATGGGGAGGCATTTAAATGCCTCCCCGATCCTTCCAGGTGGCCCCTGGCCCGCCTGCCTCGGAGTCGCTGGGGGGGGGGAGTCGCTCTCCAGGCCTTCCCCTCTGTAGCCACACGCACAGAGGTTTTGGCTGTAGTGGGCATGGCCAGCTCTGACCCCTGACTTTTTAAAAGGGTCTTTCCACTCATCAGCAATACTTGAACTCCCAGGTATTTTGATAATTGACAGTAGTTCAATAGTATAAATGGAGATATTCATTTCAAACCAGTTGTTATGTTTTAATTGGTTTCATTGTGTCGCTTATGTACTGTTGTAACCGGCCCTGAGCCTGCTTGCAGGGGAGGGAGAGCTAGAAGCCCAATAAATAAATAAATAAATTAAATAACCTTGCTACATTAACTATTAATTCTCTTTGCAAATGTTTCCCAATCTCTACAAAGAGGAGAAACAGCAAAGTAAAATAAGATCAGCGAGCCTGAGAAATGCATATTTGCTGTCTTCCCTGGGCCACATTTTTTAAAAAAGGGATTTTTCTCCTTCTTGCTGTACAGGACGTGCTGCCCATTGCCTCTCTGATCACAGACAAAACGTGATTTATTTATTTTTTTGGAGATGTCCTCTATTTCCCAGTGGAACATCCTCCCAGGAAAATGGCTGCAGACTCACCTTGTTATGGTTACTGTTTTGCAATTGCATGCCAGATGAAGGACATGCGTACAGCACAATATTCTGCAACCAGGTTGTTTTCAAAAGTCACCATAATAAGACTGCAAATTTAAGAAACTTTCCTCCATGGCAAATTTAAGCCAAACTTCAAAGTTCCTTTTGGACATTCATTAACACTTGGGAGCAATAATGCTATACCTTGAGCTGAACACAAGCATCGTAAAAATTCCTTTCATATACAGGACAGTCAAAGATCTATGTACAGGGCAATCCCACATACAGTTACGCCCACCTAAGCCCAGAGACTTTAATGGACTTAGACGGATGTCTGGGATTGTACTGTAAGATTCAGAGGGAGGCCAGGAAAGCAAGTCGGAAGCCGTCTTGCAGGATTCTAGGGCCTCTTCAGACACACTACGGGTTGGGCCAAAAGTGACCTTCACGGAAGGATTTTTCCTCCTACAGCAGCATCTTCTGCGTTTGGAAGAAATTTTCCACCCCTGGAAGGATTCTCCCACTAAGTGGAGGGCTTCTGGATCCATCCCTGCGTTCAGAACAGTAGACATAGAAAGCTCTAAAAGTTCCCCTAAGCTTATGAAGTGTGAATGTGGGGGGTTTTTTGGGGGGTGCACTGTATAGGTGCACACAGAAGATCTGGAAATAGCTGCTGCTTCCAGAAGTGTTCAAGAATTTGGGTTTGCCCTGCATAACATGAGAAACAATCAAAACGTGTGACAGAATTTGCTTCGATTGAAGAACTACAGGTACCGGCACAGGAAACAAGATTCATTTTGCAGGAACCAGGCTAATCTTCTCTGTACTGTTCTCATTTCTGTGCATGTGCTACAGAAGAGGAGGAGGAGGAGGAGGAGGAGGAGGGGGAGGAGGGTGGAGTTGAGTCTCAGAGCGGCTTACAAACTCCCTTCCCCACCCAACAACAGACACCCTGGGAGGTAGGTGGGGCTGAGAGAGCTCTGACAGAAACTGCTCTTCTTCAAGAACAGCTCTGAAAGAACTACGGCCTGCCCAAGGTCATCCAGCAGCTGCAAGTGGAGGAGTGAGGACTCAAACCTGGTTCTCCCAGATTAGAGTCTGCGCACTTAACCACTCCACCAGACTGGCTCTTGAAAGCACTTGGCTCACACAGGCATGCGCCTCAGTGGATTCCTCTTTCTGGTCACTATCCACTGGGAGGCTGGCTTCCTTTCACTAAAACGCTCCTGTTGTGCAGAAGCATTTCCCCGCTGGATTTTGCCTGTGTCACCTAAATAGTAAAACCGGATCATGTCATATAAGGCACAGGGTGTCTGTTGTGGGGAGGGGAAGGGAAAGGAGTTTGTAAGCCGCTCTGAGACACCTTTGGGTAGTGAAGGGCGGGGTATAAATCCAATCTCTTCTTCTTCTCCTAACATTAAAGAGCAGGAAGGATACCCGAGGGAGGATATGTGTAGTAACGTTTCGGTCTTACCTTCTCTCCTTTGTCCGTGTAAGATGTCTATGGAAAAAAGCACAGGATGGAACAGAACAGAGACATTAATATTTTTAATTGAATGCAGAAGAAAATCCTACCCCACAATGAACACCATTTGCACACATAGGAGCTTCTTAAACACGCGTTACCAAATACTTCAGACAGCACTAGAAAGGTTAAAGCAAAAGGTATTTTCTGAATAGGCATTCACCAAACTGTACAACTCAATGATCAAGAACCATGAAACATGATGATAACCCCCCTCTCCTCATGGCTGACCAGGCGGTAGATTTTCAGCCCCACCAGAAGGTCCAGATTTCAATCCCAAGACAATTTACAGGTTCTATGGAGAAAAGGGGTTTTATTTTATCGGGCTCAGTGACAGCAACGGCTTTGAAAATAATGGTTGAGAAAGCCCCTCACCATCTTGTCCACCCGCGGGAGCAGAAAAAGCGCACCAAGAGATAGAGAGAGAGAAAGAGAAGAGAAGAGAGAGGGACAGATTGGAGCCCTTCAGATATAGAAGTTCTGCCTGGCTCCACCTTCTCCAGATGGGAATCTGAAACACATTAACCCAAAAAAGAGATTATTTGCTGACTCCTGGCTGTTGACCATGAACGAAGAAGGAGGCAGGGGGAGAGGCTTGCCAGTGTCACACACACAGGGAAACCCTGAATTCAGATCTTGCCCCAGCCATGAATTCACTCGGCCATGTTCTCCTTAAGACCCTCGCCTCCCCTATATTTGCGTTAGGGGGACAATCATACAGGCATTCCTCGCAGGGCTGTCGTAAGAATTATGGAGATGATGTGTGTGAAGCAATTGTTTGTATAAATCTGACACTCCGGTGTTATTTCTGACAGATTCGGGTTTCGGAGGGAAGGCAGAAAAGGGGAAGGGCCGTGGCTCAGTGGCGAAGCATCTGCTCGGTATCTAGAAGGTCCCAGGTTCAATCCCCGGCATCTCCAGTTAAAAGATCTGGCAGGAGGCATAGGCGTAATCTTCGTGGGGGCGGCACGGCTTCAGCCCCCGCCGAAATTTTCAGGAAAGTGCTCAGCCTCCCCCGGGAGCCACCCTTGCTCCTAGCACAGCAATGCCTCTGGCCCAGCCCCAGCCCCCCCCCCCCCTGGGAAAATGGAAAGTCTACACACTTGGCAGGAGGGGGTGGGAAAGACCTCAGCCTGAGACCCTGGAGAGCTGCCGCCGGTCTGAGTAGACAGTACTGACCTCGATGGATCAAGGGTCCGATTCCGTATAAAGCAGCTTCATGTGGATTCATTGCTGGGAGGGGGCATGGCTCAGTGGTAGACAGGCCCGTAGCCACAGTGGGGCATGTGGGGGCAGAGCCCTGCCACGAACAAACCCTGCCCCACCCCAGGAGGATGCCAGAGACCCCCACTCCCGGTAGGGTTGCCAAGTCACTCACGGCTTAAAGCGGGAGGTAGTTGGTCCCGTCCCGGGACATTCATGTGCGCCGCAATGACGGCTGACGTCATCACATTGGGCACGTCACAGGCGGACGCTCTAGCAATCAGCCTGGAAACTCCATGGTACCACAGAGTTTTCAGGCTGATTGCTTGAGCGTCCGCCTGCGACGTGCCCAACGCGATGACGTCGCCTCCGGGTGGCATCATTGCGCCGGGCACGTCGGCCCGATGGGGGCAGGGTTCCCCCCGCCGGCCTGATCCGGACCGGTGGATTGGGGACCCTTTGAGCGGGGGAACCTCCGCCCTCCCCGGGGGACTTGGCAGCCCCTAACCCCCGGTGCCCCTTACCCCCGCAGCAGTGGGAGGCTGGGGAAGGAAAGAGGCATGCCTTCTCTCTCCCTTTGTCCTTCACTACCCCCCACCCCACACACTGTTGGGTAATCTAATTAAGTTCCCCACTCCTCTGCCCCAGCAGCCAAAAATTTCTGGCGACGGGACTGGTGGTAGAGCATCTGCTTGACATGTAGGTCCCAGGTTCAAACCCCAGCTTCTCCAGTTAAACGAAGCAGCAGTTGATGAGAAAGAGACCTTAGAGATCCGCTCCCAGTCTGGGTAGACAATTCGGACTTTGAGGGAGCCGTGGTCCGATTCAGCACAGAGCCGCTTCATGCATTAATAACAGGTGATAGTGACTGTTCACCCAACGAAAAAACTCCTGATGCAGCAAGCACAAAGCAAATGGTCCTGAGAAAGCAGATAAGGATAAAAATGCAGGAGGAGGAAGAGAAAAGGGAAGTCTTGAAATCAACTTGCGCACCGTGGTAGAACCCTTTGACTGTGTTCAAAATTAATTTGGACTTTGATAAAAAAAAATTAGGAGAGGAGAAATAAGCAAAACAGATTGATCTTATTAGTCTCACCCCTTTCTTTATTGTATATGTTAAAGCGAACTTTACACCATAATCAGTCATGTCAGAGATTGTTTGCGGTTTATCTTGATTTTCTTTTGTTATTAATAACTCTCACATCTACTTTTTGCAGAACTAGAGATGATTCAACTATCTGAAATTACTGTAACCAAGATCCTTGTTACTCTATATTTTAGATTGTTCCCCTTCCCCGACCCTGTAGAGTTGTAGTTTTAGAAAAGCAATTAATTTTTTTTTTTTTTAATAACAGGTGATAATGTGAAGACCTGGATCTAGCCTGCATTTCAGAGCCGGGCAGGCATTGCACCAGATGCTTAGTTAAATGCACCGAGCGAGTTGCACAACCCTGTGACATAATTTGGGTCCCCGTTATTTGTAGTTCACTATCTGAGCGCCTTTGGTGTATGTGGCAATTCCAGGGGAGGCTGCCAACGATCTCAACAGAGACTTCACTAGAGGAGGAGGAGGAGGAGGAGACCACAAAGGGGAGGAGGAGGAGGGAGGAGAGGTGGGAGAGCAAACATATTTGTTGGATTTTAGGCTAAGTGTCAGCTGGCAGTGAGAACCAGGAAGGAGCTGGTGGAACACACGATTCTGAAAATGTGCAGCTGCCTGGAGCCAAGCCAGACCACTGGTCCCTCTTGCTCTCTCAGCATTGCTTACTCTGACTGGCAGCAGCTCTCCCAGATCTCTGATGAAGAAAGGTCTGAAGATCTCTGCTGGATCAGACCAAAGGGCCACCCGGCCCGGTACCTGGGTTTCCACACTGGCCAATCATATGCTCCTGGAAGACCTACGAGCAGGGCACAGAAGCCAAAGTCTCCTGTGGTAGTTGACCCCACTAACAGCAACTAAGAGGCAGACTGCCTCTGAAATTGGAAGCTACTAGGCATCGATGGACCTCTCCTACATCAAGGTGTCTAAGTCAGGGCGGCTTACAGACAGCACAACAGTGCATATAATATATAAATTAGATAAAACAGGTAAAATTCAATATTATCAGATACAAGATAAAACTCCCCTACCTCTTGCAAGCAGAAGGGGAGGACTAGGGCCATAGAGAACGTAGTTGCCGCTCGGACATCACACGCAAGAGGTGGAATTTGTCCCTACAAGTCCAAGGCCACCACCCTGGGGCTCAGGGAAGCAAGGGAACATTTCGCCCCCCCCCTGCAGCTGCCATAACTTTTTAAAGAACCCCTAAGGAGAGCTGGGGGAGCCAGAATGACCTCTCGCGCCCGGAAAGCACCTCTCGCCGCTCGGACATCACACGCGAGAGGTGGAATTTGCCCCTACGAGTTCAAGGCCACCACCCCGGGGCTCAGGGAGGCAAGGGAACGTTTCCCCCCGCGCCCCCCCCCCCGCGGGCATTGCAACTGCCACCGAGAAGAGTGGCAGCGGCCATAACTTTTTAAAGAGCCCCTAAGGAGAGCTGGGGGAGCCAGAATGACCTCTTGCGCGAGAGGTGGAATTTGCCCCTACGAGTCCAAGGCCACCACCCCGGGGCTCAGGGAGGCAAGGGATCGTCCCGTCCCCCCCGCGGGCATTGCAGCTGCCGCCGAGAACAGTGGCGGTGGCCATAATTTTTTAAAGAGCCCCTAACAAGAGCTGGGAGAGCCAGAATGACATCTCGTGTGTGATGGAATTTGCCCCTACGAGTCCGCTGGGCAATATTGCCTTTGGGCAATCATGGATTCTCTGTTGGCAATTATGTCCCTATGAGCAATCATAGATTCTCTATTGGCAATTATGTACTCCATTATCCTCTTTGGGCAAGTGTCCTCTCCATTATTCCCTATGGGCAGTCATGGATTCTCTATTGGCATTATGGATTCTCTATTGGCAATTATGTACTCCATTATCCCCTATGGGCAAGCGACCTCTCCATTATTCCCTATGGGCAGTCATGGATTCTCTATTGTCAATTTTGGATTCCCTATTGGCAGTCATGTACTGCACTATCCCGTCTGGGCAAGCGACCTCTCCATTATTCTCTATGGGCTCTCATGTATTCCCTATGAGCAATCGCTGTCCTTAGTTTTAGTACGTCCCGCCAGGAACGCATGTGGAGTGACCCCCCCCCCTGCACAGAATCACTCATCTGAACAGGGTTGCCAGCTCCGGGTTGGGAAAAACCAAAAGATTGGGGGGGGGGGGGAATGGAGTCTGAGGAGGGCAGGGTTGGGTAGGGACTTCAATGGGCATAATTCCATGGAGTTCACCCTCAAAAGCCGCTATTTTTTCCAAGTTAACTGATCTCTGTGGCCTGGAGATAATTTGGAATTCTGAGATATCTCCAGCCACCACCTGAAGATTGGCAACCCTACAACCGAGGAAACAAAAAATGCTGATTTTTACAGTTTCGCAGCTCTTTGTTCCTTCAACTTGCGCTTTCCACATGCATCTGAATTAATTTCCTACAGAGCAAAATAACATCCGCGTGCAACATTTGGATACAACACGCTTTACGGACGAAGCAAGCGTTTCCAGCCCATTCACACGTGCAAATCGCCGCGGGATACGGCAAGCGCCAAACACGCAAGCGCACGAACTACCCATCCTTGCAAGAGGGCGCTGCGCTTCGGCCTTTGGCCCCGCCCTAATGCTCCTAGCTCCGCCCCTCGCCTCTCTCCCGCTGCTCTGCTACCATAGGCTACTGCAAACCCCGCCCCCTTGGCTCCGCTGCTTGGTCAAAGGGATTGTAGGCGGGGCTTGCGTCTCCCCACTGACGGAGCAGTTTTGGCCTCTCTGGCGCTACGTAGTGACGGTTGTTTGCTTTCCCCAAATCCCTTTTTTGCAAACTAGCCATTCTTTCTCCATTTCTTTTTTAAGGACCGTCTTTCTCCAAATGTCCCAGCAAGACCCGGCGGTCTCGGAGACGGTGACGGTCAGTGACGTGCAGCAGCTGCTGAAGAAGAAGGATGAAATCGAAGCCCAGATTAAAGCTTATTATGAAATGCTGGAAGATGTAAGTGCCTGCGGAGGGGGGAGGGGTTGCCAAACTCCAGGTGGTGGCTGGAGATCTCCTGCTATTCCAACTGGCCTCCACGTGACAGAGATCCCCTGGGGACAAATGGCTGCCTTTGGAAGGCGGGCTCTATGGCGCTGTACCCCATTGAAATATCTCTCTTCCACGAACCCTGCCCTCCTCAGGCTGCGCCCCAAAAATCTCCAGGTGTTTCCCAACCCAGAGGGGGGGGGGCAAGGCCCCTACCCTAAAACACACACACACACACACACACAGTAGTTTCTGTGCATCAAAGGTTTTCAGTATTTGCATAATTTTAAATTGCCGTGGCCAGCTGTAGTTGCAGAAGACCAACATATAACAGATACCGTGCACAGATGAATTATAACCTATCATAAATAATTTTATATATTTAGAAAGATATTATTACAATAATTTCTTCATACATATTAATCATCATAGTCATATGATGGAAGACAGAGCACATGTAAAGAGAATTTAAGGAGTCCTCCCTTTTGAAACGTTTTTACAGAGGAGGACTAGTATATATTATAAGGTTGTACTATATCTTTTGAGAATCTATGGAGATGATATTTGACATTTTGTTCTCTTATATTATGAATTATGACTATGATGATTAATATGTATGAAGAAATTATTGTAATAATATTTTTCTAAATATATAAAATTATTTATGATAGGTTATAATTCATCTGTGCACGGTATCTGTTATATGTTGGTTTTCCTACTTACCGTGGGTCCTTGTTTGGGTTTTGTAGTTGCAGAAGAAGCAAAACAAAAATACTACTGGAGCTGCGGTCCTAAAATAATTTTCCTGAGACCTAAGCGCCATTGAAATAGGACAAGGGTGGAATCCAGGGGCACCTTTAAGACCAACAAAGTTTAATTCTGGGTATAAGCTTTCGTGTGCCCACTTCTTAAAGGGGCCACTGAACTCAGGCTTGGTTCTGTTGCTTCAGACCAACATGGCTACCAGTGTTCCCTCTAAGCTGAGTTAGTGTGAGCTAGCTCACAGTTTTTAGCCTCTAGCCCACACATTTTTGTCTTAGCTCAGGAAGGAGGGCTCCAGACCAAACTAATTTATGCAGTAGCCAAGTCGCTCGCTCACAACTTTAATGCCTGGAGCTCACAAAGTAGAATTTTTGCTCACAAGACTCCACAGCTTAGAGGGAACATTGCTCTACCCACCTGAATGAATAAAATAGCGATTACTTATGAGTAGATCCATTTAGGATTGCCCCCTAAATTAGTTTAAAGCAGCGCTATGTGCACCTCCTGTAGGCTTATTTTCCTGTTGCTTTATTTGAAGAGCTTCAGGATTTCTGTTACAGTTATTTCCTTCTCTTTGTTGTGCTCTGGGAAAGGGCCTGACTTTGCGGTGCAGTCCCGAGTGCCTTTATTGGTGGGGAAGTGTTTGGTATAGTGGTTAAGAACGTGGACTCTAAGCTGGGAGAACTGGGTTTGATTCCCCACTCCTCCACTTGCAGCTGCTGGATGACCTTGGGCAAGCTGTAGTTCTGTCAGAGCTGTTCTTGAAAAGACCAGTTTCTCTTAGAGCTCTCTCAACCTCACCTACCTCATAGGGTGTCTGTTGTGGGGAGGGGAAGGGAAAGGAGTTTGTAAGCTGCTCTGAGACTCCGAGTGAAGGGCAGGGTATGAATCCAATCTCCTCCTCCTCATCATTTACTTCCAAGTTGGGGTGCATAGGATCACAAGGAAGGACGTTTAGTCTTTGACCTGTGGTTTTGGTTGGTTGAGATGACTGTTGAATCGAGAGCCATTCAAAACAGCATGCTTTGTAAGGGCCAGATATTGTGTTCAGCATCAGCGTATGGGTGCGTGGTGTTTGGGTACATGGCAGAGAAATGCTAATGTGGTCCACAGTGTGAAGACACAAATATAGAAAATGTACTGTGGACACTTTCACGCATGCAAAATAATGCCATTTCAGTCCCCTTCAGCAATTGTTTGCAAGTGGATTTTGCCTCTGCACACAGTAAAATCCAGTTGCAAAGTGCATTGAATGTGGATTGAAAGTGCAAGTGCCCTTAAGAGCTTTTCGTTCATGACTGATGAGAGTGTCCGAAAGGGATGAGACTGTGGTGTCGTGTGCTCAGTTGCTGGTCCGGCCCCTACAGAAATCTGTGTGTGAACCCCGCGTGTGTTCCAATGAGGGGGGTTGTGGGGGTGCCATAGTGCAGCGGTGTGCAGCTAGAAGATCCTTTCCTCAGTCATCAGCATCTCCAGTTATAGAATCTCCAGTACCAGAACTGAGAAAAAGCCCTGCCAGTTAGGGCAGGGGACGCTAGGCCACAGGACCAACGGCTGATTCAGTGGAAGGCTGGTCCAGAACTTTTATGGTTGAGCCACAGCAGAAAGGCACTGAATGGCCTTCTCAAAAGATTAAATCCCTGCTCTTTTCCACTCCCGTTTCTTTTTAAAATGAGACGTTTCTTCCCTTTGAAAAGGATCTCCAAGTGCAAAACGTGTATATTTTTTTCTGTAGCAGAAAGGAGTCGGGATGAATGAGCCGCTGGTGGACGTTGAAGGGTATCCCCGTGCCGATGTTGACGTCTACCAAGTCCGGACAGCAAGACACAACATCATCTGTGAGTCATCTGTCCTCAGATTGACCTGGGGGGGGGGAATAAAATTGGATTGGGGGGGGAGGAATAAAAGCTCGAAGGAGACTGGCTTACTAATAAATATTATCTGTTTGCTTAATTTGTACCCTTACCTTTCTCCCCAGTGGGGACCCAAAGTGACTTACATCGTTTACTTTTCCTTCATTTTATCCTTTCAACGATCCCCCTGTGAGGTAGGTTAGGCTTAGTGTGTGTGACTGGGCCAAGGTCAGCTTCTGTGGCGGAGTGGAGTTCTGAACCTGAGAATAGATGCTTTCGAATTATGGTGCTGGAGAAGACTCTTGAGAGTCCCTTGGACTGCAAGGAGATCGAATCAGTCAGTCCTAAAAGAAATCAACCCTAACTGTTCCCTGGAAGGCCAGATAATGAAGCTAAAGCTCAAATTCTTTGGCCACCAAATGAGAAGGGAGCACTCACTGGAGAAGATCCTGATGCTGGGAAAGACTGAAGGTAACAGAAGACGGGGATGTCAAAGGATGAGATGGGAAGACAGGAGGGCCTGGTGTGATGTGGTCCATGGGGTCGCGAAGAGTCAGACTCGACTGTGCAACTGAACAACAACTACAACAACTCCTGGATCTTAGTCTGATGTTCCAACCACTACACTACACTGGCCCTGTCTTCAGTAAGGCTCTCTGTTCACCACCCTGGAACAATCAAGCGTCTGTTTTAATATGTAATGAAAAGAAATGTAGGCAGGTGTGTGCTGCAGAAACAGCTGAGCGTATGGCACAGGGTGCTGCACTTCTTACAATTCTGAGCCTTTCTGGCTTTCCTTTTGAAGCAATCAAGTCTCTAGCCCTCATGACTTCAGAGACAGGCTTCAGAGAGTGTGGACCAATGTTCCCTCTAAGCTGAGTTAGTATGAGCCAGCTCACAGTTTTTTAGCCTCCGGCTAACACATTTTTGTCTTAACTCAAAAAGGATGGCTCCAGAGCAACCTAATTTATGCAGCAGCCAAATCGCTCCCTCACCACTTTAATGCCAGTAGCTCATGACGTAGAATTTTTGCTCACAAGACTCCACAGCTTAGAGGGAGCATTGATGTGGACATGTTCTAGTGGTATCACCCAATCGGGGCTAATTGTCCACAAGCAAGGGGTCCGCATCAGTGCCTGCTTCTTGCCTCTCTGTGCAACTAGCAGAATAACCTGCTTGCAAAACAAGTAATTCTGTGCACGTTGGAGAACTCTGCTTTTCTCTGTGTGGGATGTGGATATATCCACCACTACAATGCATTTTTTTTTTAAAAAAAAATTAAATCTTTTTTTCAAAGACCTTCAGGGAAGGTGATTGTAAGCCACTCTGAGACTCCTTCAGGTAGTGAAAATAGCCACTGATGGACCTCTGCTCCAGATGTTTATCCAGTCCCCTCTTGAAGCCGTCTGTGCCTGTAGCTGCCACCACTTCTGCAACAGTCAGTTCCACATGTTAATGCCTCCACCAGAGATGTCCTCGGTGGAGTGGCCAGGAAGGGTTCGGGTTTGGGAAAGGCCGGCGGGGCTGGTTCTGCACTGCCGTCGTCTTCAGTAGGGAGCTCTTAAGGCCGTGGACGCTCTTTTTGCCCCGCAGGCTTGCAGAACGATCACAAGGCCCTGATGAAGGAGGTGGAACAGGCCCTCCACCAGCTGCACGCCCGCGAGAAGGAGAAGCGCGAGAAAGACGAGGCGGAAGCTCACACCGTGGCCAGGAGCCAGAGCGAGGCCCCGCCTCTTCCTTTCGCCAGGGTGAACGCCATCACCCCGGGCTCTCCAGCCAGCATGTCGGCAAGTTCTTCCTCTTGGCGGGCCCTGGAAAGCATCTCTCCTTTTGGTGTGCAGAGGAAGGCAGTGGCCAACCACCTCTGTATGTCTTTTGCCCTGACCCAGTTGCCCAGGCTAGCCCGATCTCATCAGATCTCAGAAGCCAAGCAGGATGGGCCCCGGTTAGTACGTGGATGGGAGGCCACTAAGGAAGTCCAGGGTTGCTGTGCAGAGGAAGGCAGTGGCCAACCACCTCTGTATGTCTTTTGCCCTGACCCAGTTGCCCAGGCTAGCCCGATCTCATCAGATCTCAGAAGCCAAGCAGGATGGGCCCCGGTTAGTACGTGGATGGGAGGCCACTAAGGAAGTCCAGGGTTGCTGTGCAGAGGAAGGCAGTGGCCAACCACCTCTGTATGTCTTTTGCCCTCACCCAAGATTTTGGGTTCTCCTTCTTCCTAGGCTGGCCTGATCTCATCAGGTCTTGGAAGCTAAGCAGGGTCGGCCCTGGTTACTGCTTGAATGGGAGACCACCAAGGAAGTTCAGGGTTGCTACGCAGAAGCAGGCAAACGATCTCTGTATGTCATTTGCCCCGACCTAGATGACTCAGGGGGCTACGGTGGCTCAGTGGTTAAGATGCTGAACTGCAGACCGGAAGGTCAGTAGTTCAGCAGTTCGAGACCCAAGTTGCCGCATGACAGAGTGAGCTCCCATCTCTGGCCCCAGCCCCTGCCAACCTAGCAGTTTGAAAGCAAGAAATTGCAAGTAGACAAATAGGTACGGCTTTGGTGGGAAGGTAACAGCGTTCCGTGGGCCTTGGTGTTTAGTCATGCCACCCACATGACCACGGAAACGTCTTCGGACAGCGCTGGCTCTTCGGCTTGGAAACGGAGATGAGCGCCGCAACCCTAGAGTTGGATTCGACTGGCTTTCGAGCAAGGGAACCTTTACCTTTATCTAGACGACTCAGGCTAGCCCAGTCTCATCAGACCTCGGAAGCTGAGCGGATTCCATCCTGATTAGTACTTGGTGGGAGACCGCCAAGGAGGTCCAGGGTGGCTATGCAGAGGCAGGCATTGGGCAAAACCACCTCTGTTCCTCTCTTGCCTTGAAAACCCACACTGGGTCTCCATAAGCCGGCTGTGATTTGACAGCCCTCTTTACACACAGGGACAGCCGGCCAGCATGAATTCTCTTTCTCGTTCCCTCTCTCCAAGGGGTTGCAAGTGGACGATGAGATCGTGGCGTTCGGCTCTGTGAACATGCACAACTACCAGTCCCTCCAGAATATCGCCACTGTGGTACAGCACAGTGAAGGGGTGAGTGGTTTCTTGGGTGACCCTTGGTTTGTGTTTGTTGTGCCGCTTGGCTGCAGCAGTTCTCTTGGCAGGGGTCCTTGCGTAGAAAAAGAGGTGCAGGGGCTCATTAGCATAACGCATTAGCATAACTCATTTGCATACGCCACATCTCCCGACATCACCGGAAGTGTGTCAGAAGGCAACACCCACCGCTCAGGCTCCATTGGACTGTTTTGTCATTAACATTTTATTGGTAGAATTAAAACAATAAACCAAATATAACAATAAAAATGTACATAAAGGTCATAAGAACAGTTAAACATTCAAACCAATACACTAATTACAAAAAAGATAAAAATAAAAATGTAAGCTTTAAAGAGTGATACATTCTTCAATAAACCTTTGAACAAAGTAACTTGTTTTAGCCTCAATTTGTAATTGATGCCTGTACTGTTTGTTGCTTTAGATACAACCAAGTGTCTTTTGCCATCAAGATTATCTGTAGACATTCAGTGATATATCTAACCATGTTAAACACCAAGTACTACCCACAAATCAAGTTTTACCAAAGCCTACTTACTATACTTTAGTTGAACCATAAATAAGTCCTCACAACCATTTAACATAGTTATCCCAGGATGCTGAGATTGGGGGGGGGGAACGTGCAGATCTGTCCTCGCAGAGGAGGGAGAGCTTGTACCTGAATAAAACTTGGTCTTAAAGGTGCCACTGGACTGTTTTGGGCTGGGGGGGGGGTCTGCAACTTACCTGGCTGCTTCTTGCTCCTTGTGGCCTGACTGAGGGTTGCTGGGAGCAGGGGGCGGGGCTTATTGCATGTGCCTGCCCCCTGGGCTCCTTACTGCCGGAGCTCCGCTCTTGTGCGCTCCCACAGGAAATGACCCCTGTCTCTTGGAAAAGGCGTGAGTCTGCTCTTGGCAAAACACAGGGCCCACCTGGCGTGTGTAGCAGTCTCCCGGCCTATCACACACTTGTAGGTTTTTGAGATGACTTGCAAAACTGATTAACA